CCCCTTCTTTAATTTGCATGTCTGTTTTACCTGGTTCTTGGGGGGAATCCAGACATATAACATGTTCCAGGTGTAAGAAATCCATGCTGGGTTTTCACCAGTGCTACTAAAGCATAAACATTCTATTACACAACGAGGCAGTATTCTAAAATGGAAAACAGAGAAATTAGGAAATCCACTGTTTCCTTCTTACAAGGACATATAGTATAGAAGGGAGTAACAAAATTAGTACACAGAGACAGCCAGAGTAACAACTGCAAGCAACTCCCCCTCTTTCCTTCCGCATCATCATCTAGGCTACTTAGCATTAGGCAACTGCTAGTCTCTTTGATCCAAGTCTTCAAGCCAGAACCCGATCCTGGTCCCCGATAGGCTGCTTTTCTTCGGGGCTCTTCTCCCTTGTCCCCTCCAGTTGCGGGCCCTTGGCTGACCCTGATGTCAGCTTCTTCTCATCCTGGTCTGTTACGCTGCTGGTCCTCCCTTGCAGGGTTGGCGTTTGAGCAGGAACTTCAGGTTCTCCACGAGTTCCACGGTCCCCTGGTCTCCCTGTGGTTTTCGGAGCCTTTCCCAGCCTGGAGCAACATTCCCACGTAGGCACTTCCTCAGATCTCTCTGCTCTGTGTGGCAAGGGGCACCTGGGCGCGCTCCTCCCACTGCATCCATGGTCTCCAGGCGGTCCAGTCTCAGGCCAGTCGGCTGACGTGAGCCAGCAGCCCCCCTTCCCTTGTGCCACTGCAAGCCGTGGGCAGCAACCACCAGTGGCCGCAGCTTCACACACCGCAGGCAGGCAGGCAATCAGGCACGGCTGCTTTGGCCTTGCCGGGCAGCCAGCATGGCCCCTCTGCGCTCGGAGAAGGAGCGATGCCGGCCAGCTAGCCATTGCCGCAGCGGGACGGGAAGAAATGCCTGCCGAGTCCGGTGCTGGAGAGGACCAGCTCCAGCCCCCTCCCTCCCTGTTCGCACTTCCATGCTTAGTTGCCCTGTGCTGGGGAGCAGCCATGAGCCTCCCATTGGGCTAGGATTCAGCTGCCCATGCATGCCCTCCTGGCCACGAAAGACATTATTGCACCCAGACACGGTGACGGAATCCCCAGAGCTTCTCCCCCCGCCAAACCCATACTCACGCTGCGCTGCTGGCTTTCGGAGGGAAGAGAGTGAGTTCTACTCTCCCTCTTCTCTTCTGTCCTCCCCAGTGGAAACCAGTCTGCACTCTCCCAGCAAGTTCATACTGTCAATGTGCAAATGCTTGCACAGGAGCTCAAGCTGTTAACTGGTATGTTGATAGTAAAGTTGCAACTGTGCTGAAAGGAGTCTGAAAATCGATAGACCCTTCAGGTGGCCACTCTGCTCCACTGTTCAACTGATGCTGGGGCCAAATAGAGTAACAGTCGACATTTAGTCTCTTTTTCTTTGAGATGGACTCTCTTTTGAACTTTTTCCCATTTCCCAACAAACAACCCAGAGGTGTGCACATTTGTTTTGACTTACCTTGATCCATTGAACTAGTGGAGGAGACAGTATTCCAGATGAGATATTCAAAATCCTAAACGACGATGCAGTTAAAGTCTCACACTGAGCATGCCCAAAGAGGGACAGTGCCAAAGACTGTTCCCACAAGTTAGGCTCCAGCAGTAGGTGGACCAAGAACTACCAGAAGTACAAGCAGGGTTTCAAAGAGGCAGAGGAACTATAGATCAAATTGCCAACATACGCGGGATCATGGAGGAAGCTAGTGAGCTCCCAGAAAAGCATCTACTTCTGCTTCATTGATCATGCTAAAGCCTTTGATTGATTGATCACAACAAATTGTGGCAAACTCTTAAAGGGATGGGAGTACCAGACCATCTTATTTGTTTCTTCAGAAACTTGTCAAGAAGCAATAGTGAGAATTAGACATAGAACTACAAATAGGTTCAAAATTGGGAAGGAATACAGCAAGGCTGTATTTTGTCCACCTGCCTATTTAACTTATATGCAGAGCAATCCATGAGAAAGGCGGGGCTGGATGAATCACCAGCTGGAATTAGGATTCCTGGGAGAAATATCAACAACCTCAGATATGCAGATGATACCACTCTCATGGCAGAAAGTGAAGAGGAACTAAATAGCCTCTTGATGCAGTTGAAGGAAGAGAGCGCAAAAGTTGACTTGAAACTCGACATTAAGAAAACTAAGATCATGGCATCCGGTCCTCTCACTTCCTTGCAAACAGATGGGGAGGAAATGGAGGTAAAAGACGCTTGCTCCTGGGGAGGAAAGCTATGGCAAACCTAGATAGCACACAAAAAAGCAGAGACGTCACCCTGGCAACAAAAGTGCGTATATTAAGGCTATGGTTTTCCCAATTGCATTGTATGGCTGTGAAAGCTGGACCATAAGGAAGGCTGAGTGCCAAAGTATTGAGGCCTTTGCATTGTGGTGCTGGTGGAGACTCCTGTGAGTCCCTTGGACTGCAAGGCGATCAAACCGGTCAGACTTAGAGGAGATCAACCCAGACTGCTCTTTAGAAGGCCAGATCCTGAAGATGAAGCTCAAATACTTTGGCCACCTAATGAGAAGGAAGTAAGGACTCCCTGGAGAAGAGCCTAATGCTGGGAACAATAGATGGCAAAAGAAGGAGGGGGCGGCAGAGGATGAGGTGGCTGGACGGAGTCAGTGAAGCAGTTGGTGTGAGCTTGGGTGGACTCTGGGGGATGGTGGAGCACAGGAAGGCCTGGAGGAATCTTGTCCATGGGGTTGCGATGGGTTGGACACGACTTCGCGACTAACAACAAAAACAAGCCATTTTCCCTCCCCAGTGTCATGTGACTCGTTAGCATTACAAGGTCTCAGGTGTGAATGGGGAGCAGGTGTGTTAAATTTGGTGTTATCACTCTCACTCTCTCATACTGGTCACTGGAAGTTCAACATGGCACCTCATGGCAAAGAACTCTAGGAGGATCTGAGGAAGAGAATTGTCGCTCTACATAAAGATGGCCTAGGCTATACGAAGACTGCCAAGACCCTGAACCTGAGCTGCAGCACGGTGGCCTAGACCATACAGCGGTTTAACAGGACAGGTTCCACTCAGAACAGGCCTCGTCATGGTCGACCAAAGAAGTTGAGTGCACGTGCTCAGCGTCAGATCCAGAGGTTGGCTTTGGGAAATAAGCGCATGCGTGCTGCCAGCATTGCGGCAGAGGTTGAAGGGGTGGTGGGTCACCCTGTCAGTGCTCAGACCATACACCGCACACTGCATCAAATTGGTCTGCAGGGCTGTCACCCCAGAAGGAAGCCTCTTGTAAAGATGATGCACAAGAAAGCCCGCAAACAGTTTGCTGAAGACAAGCAGACTAAGGACATGGATTAGTGGAACCATGTCCTGTGGTCTGATGAGACCAAGATAAACTTATTTGGTTCCGATTTGGTGCCGGTGTCAAGCGTGTGTAGTGACAACCAGGTGAGGAGTACAAAGACAAGTGTGTCTTGCCTATAGTCAAGCATGGTGGTGGGAGTGTCATGGTCTGGGGCTGCACGAGTGCTGCCGGCACTGGGGAGCTACAGTTCATTGAGGGAACCTTGAATGCCAACATGTACTGTGACATACGGAAGCAGAGCGTGATCCCCTCCCTTCGGGGACTGGGCCGCAGGGCAGTATTCCAACATGATAACCACCCCAAACACACCTCCAAGACGACCACTGCCTTGCTAAAGAAACCGAGGGGGAAGGGGATGGACTGGCCAAGCATGTCTCCAGACCTAAACCATATTGGCATCTGTGGGTCATCCAGAAATGGAAGGTGGAGGAGCCCAAGGTCTCTAACATCCACCAGCTCCGTGTTGTCGTCAGGGAGGAGCGGAAGAGGACTCCAGTGGCAACCCGTGAAGCTCCGGTGAACTCCATGCCCAAGAGGGTTAAGGCAGTGCTGGAAAATAATGGTGGCCACACCACATATTGACACTTTGGGCCCAATTTGGACAGTTTCACTTAGGGGTGTACTCACTTTTGTTGCCAGCGGTTTAGACATTGATGGCTGTGTGTTGAGTTATTTTGGGGGGACAGCAAATTTACACTGTTATACAAGCTGTATACTCACTACTTTACTTTGTGGCACATTGTCATTTCTTCAGTGTTGGCACAGGAAAAGATATAATAAAAGATTTGCAAAATGTGAGGGGAGTACTCACTTCTGTGATATACTGTAGAACAAACCTCCACGTTTCTTTAAAACTCTGTGGACAGAGGCTGAAGGGCTGTGGCTAAGGTGTTCCACTCCCCCTTGGCAATGGACCAGGCCCCCACTCGCCCCGAAACCCTCGGCCCACAGATGGGCTACTAGATTAATCTCCACTCAGCCACAAAGGATCCTGGGTGACCTGGGGACGGCCAATCACCCAGCCTAGCCTACCTCACAGGGCTGTTGTGTAAAGATAAAAAGGGAAAAGTGGTTCCTCGGAAGAGGAGGAAGGCAGGATATAAATGTCATTCAAGGAAGGGAAGGGGAAAGGGAAAGGGAAGTTCGTTAATGCTACCAATCACTCTGCTCTTCTGTGACAAAAGAGAACCAAATCCTCTGTGGGGTGCACAGTCCTGTCGAAGGAAAAAAAATCTGCTCCCTTTGGATTAGTGTCAAAGCTTCTAAATTGCATTTGGTGATTCGCAGGAAAATCTGTCTCCTTCTTGCAAGGAATCCTAAGATCTTGCAGATAAAATAATTCAGGGCAGGGCAGAGAGGTAGCAAAAACAGGGGTAGGAGAGGATACGCTGCACAGAGAGGAGAAAAGGGTGGCCTGGGCAACCATCCTCCGCATGCAAAAGACTTTCAGGGGCACTTCATTCCTGTACTCTTCACTCTCCAACAGAGTTATTCTCATTACATTGCATTTATCTCCCACCGTTTTTCCTCCTGTGAAGGACCCAAGGCAGCTTACCTTGCTTTTATGTACAATGAGATCTCCTTTTCCCTCGAAACTCTTTCCACACTCAAGACATCCATGTGGTTTCTCCCCTGTGTGAATTCTCTGATGACAAGTGAGACCTGAGCGCCAAGTGAAGCACTTGCCACACTCCAAGCATTTATAGGGTTTCTCTCCTGTATGGACTCTTTGATGAGCAGTCAATCCACCCTTCAATCGAAAGGTCTTTCCACACTCATGACATTCCAAAGGTTTCTCCCCCGTGTGAATTCTTTGATGGCAAGCAAGGCCTGAGCTCTGACTGAAGCACTTGCCACACTCCATACACTTGAATGGTTTCTCCCCTGTGTGGATTCTTTCATGAGTGGTGAGTTGCCTTTTCCCACTGAACCCCTTTCCACACTCCAAGCATTTATAGGGTTTCTCCTCTGTGTGAATCCTTTCATGAACATCAAGGGCTCCTTTTGTACTGAAGCTCTTTCCACAATCAAGACATTCATATGGTTTCTCCCCAGAGTGAGTTCTCCGATGGCGAGTGAGATTTTGGTACTGAGTGAAGCTCTTTCCACACTCCTGGCATTCAAACGGTTTCTCCCCAGTGTGAATTCTCCGATGGCGAGCGAGATTTTGGTACTGAGTGAAGCCCTTTCCACACTCCTGGCATTCAAACGGTTTCTCCCCAGTGTGAATTCTCAGATGGCGAGCGAGATGTGGGTACTGAGTGAAGCTCTGTCCACATTCCTGGCATTCAAACGGTTTCTCCCCAGTGTGAATTCTCAGATGGCGAGCGAGATGTGGGTACTGAGTGAAGCTCTTTCCACACTCCTGGCATTCAAACAGTTTCTCCCCTGTGTGAATTGTATGATGGCAAGCAAGGCCTGAGCTCTGACTGAAGCACTTGCCACACTCCATACACTTGAATGGTTTCTCCCCTGTGTGGGTTCGTTCATGAATGGTGAGCTGCCCTTTCCCACTGAACCCCTTCCCACACTCCAAGCATATATAGGGTTTCTCCCCTGTGTGGATTCGTTCATGAGTGGTCAGTTGCCCTTTCCCACTGAACCCCTTTCCACACTCCAAGCATTTATAGGGTTTCTCTCCTGTGTGAACCCTTTTATGTGCATCAAGGGCTCCTTTTATCCCGAAGCTCTTTCCACATTCAAGACATTCATATGGTTTCTCCCCTGCGTGAATTCTGTGATGGCTAGCAAGAATTGCAAGATGACTAAAGGTTTTGCCACTCTTCAAGCATTTATAGGGTTTCTCTCCTGTGTGAATTTCTTGATGAGTAGTCCATAGTATCTTCAATCGAAAGATCTTTCCACACTTCTGGCATTCAAATGGTTTCTCCCTGGTGTGAATTCCATGATGGAAAGCAAGGCCGGAGCTGTGATTGAAGCGCTTGCCACACTCCATACACTTGAAAGGTTTCTCCCCTGTGTGGGTTTGTTCATGAATAGTGAGCTGCCCTTTCACACTGAAGCCCTTTCCACACTCTGAGCATTTAAATGGTTTCTCCTCTGTGTGGATCCTTTTATGAAGTTCAAGGGCTCCTTTTGCCGCAAAGCTCTTTCCACAGTCAAGACATTCATATGGTTTCTCCCCAGTGTGAATTTTCTGATGGCAAGCGAGATGTGGGTACTGAGTGAAGCTCTTTCCACACCCCCGGCATTCAAATGGTTTCTCTCCCATGTGAATTCTATGATGACAAGCGAGATGTGAGCGCTGAGTGAAGCATTTGTCACACTCCTGGCATTTATACGGTTTCTCTGCTGTGTGGACTCTTTGATGAGCCGTCAATCCACCCTTCAATTGAAATGTCTTTCCACACTCCTCGCATTCAAAGGGTTTCTCCCCAGTGTGAATCCATTCATGTAAATCAAGGGCTCTTTTTCCACTGAACCCCTTCCCACACTCAAGGCACTCAAATGGGTTTTCCCCTGTGGGAAGTTGGTGATGTAAAGCGGCACCTTGATGACAGCTGAACATTCTCCACACTGCAGGCATTCAAAGGGTTTCTCCCCTGTG